CGGGTTAAGGCGACGTCTCCTCGCCTCAGCCTTCGAACCAGCTGGGACTAAAGCCATGAACCACCACCGCCAACACTATCGCTCGCGGCCCTAAATTTTGTACATTTTAGTAAAAGCAGGATGGCGGTTGCTTCCATCGGCTTAGGTCAGCTGGTCTCAAACTCCGACCCTCAGGTGATTCCACACCGGGCCTCCCGCAAGAGTCTGGGAATCTACAGGGCATGGAGCCAAACCGTGCGCCCGCCCTTCTCCTGAAGGCATTATTTTTTTTTATATTTTTTTTTTGTGAGACCGGAGAGTCTCGCTCTGTGAAGGCCCAACGGCTGGAGTGGCAGTGGCCGGATCAGCCTCACTGAGCATAAGCTCGCGCCTCCCATGGTTTAACGCCATTCTCCTGCCTCGGCGTCCCGTCCGAGATGTAGGCTGGACTACAGCGGCGGTCCAACACCTCCGGTCGCCCGGCTAGTTTTTTTTGTATTATTTTTTAGTAAGAGACGGTTCAACCGTTTTAGCCCCCAAGGATGTCTGATCTCCTGACCTCGGTGATGCCCGCCGTCACTCGGCTCCCCCAAGAGTGTGGGCGATTCAAGGCACTCGAGGCACCGCGCCCGGCCACCTTCGGAGTAGTTGGGATTACTTTTTTTTGCCACCACACCTGGCTAATTTTTGTATTTTTGGTAGAGATGGGGTTTTACCATGTTGGCCAGGCTGGTCTCAAACTCCTGACCTCGTGATCTTCCCGCCTTGGCCTCCCAAAGTGCTGAAATTACAAACGAGAGCCTTTTTTTTTGGCCTAGGTTTTGTTTTGAACTGATATTCTGATTCTTCAGCAAGTCTTATGTGGATATGAAAGGATGAAAATGTACTGAAAGATTATATACAGGACAAATAACAGGGACCCACAGAATAAATCAGAAGAAATCTGTTTTTTTTCCACAACTTCTTGAACATTAAAGTGAAGGGAAAAAAGCCACCTTCATCAGATTAAACAGAAACTATTAATTTTTTTTCTTCCATTTATTTTTTTTTTAGGAATTGAAGCGAAACAGTGAGACCATATGGTTTTCAATTTTTTTTCAAAGAAAGCAACAAAACCTTCTGTTTTAGGAAATCGTATTTTTTTTTATTACAAATGCAGAAAGTAGGGGGGCTGAGTCAATGCCCCAGCACCAACCATACTGGCGATAGTGTGGAAGAGGGGCGGGTGAGGTGGTTTTTTTTAGAGAGAGTCAGCAGGAGGATCAGCACTGGAGTGAAGAGGTTTTTTTTAGCAGGAGAGGGCAAAGAGCACTGAGAACAAGAGGGGAGCTTTTTTTTATGATCGTGCCCTCTGCTTCTCCAGAGACCCTTTCCTATGTTTTTTTTCACATCCAGCCAGACCTTACTGTGATTCTGGCTGGAAGTGTTTTTTTTGACAGCTCATAAATGCTCCCACAGAGTTGATACAACTCTGTTTTTTTTAGGAGAATACATTTATTGGTCGAAGTGCTTTAGAGAATATTTTTTTTTAAATAAAACTACAATAGCCTATAAAATGTAACCCACAACTTTTTTTTTTGCCACGTTAGCATTAATATTAAGGCTTTTTTTTTTTTTTTTTGAGACGGAGTCTCACTCTGTCACCCAGGCTGGAGTGCAGTGGCGCTTGGCTCACTGCAACCTCCGCCTCCCAGGTTCAAGCAATTCTCCTGCCTCAGCCTCCCCAGTGGCTGGGACTACAGGCACAAGCCACCATGCCCGGCTAATTTTTGTGTTTTTTAGTAGAGACAGGGTTTTTGCCGTGTTGGTCAGGCTGGTCTTGAACTCCTGAACTCAGGTGATCCACCTGCCTCAGTCTTTTTTTTTGTTGGGATTACAGGTGCGAGCCACTGAACCTGGCTAAGGCTTTTTTTTTTGAAGGGAATAAAAAGCGATTTATTGGAAAAATGAACGTACACTCTACAGCAGTGTGGGAGTGGGGCCTGAGCCAACAGGGGCCGTCAACAGGCCTTTCTTAACTTTTTTTTTTAAGACAGAGTCTCACTTTGTTGCCCAGGCTGGAGTGCAGTGGGCGGTGATCTTGGCTCACTGCAACCTCCACCTCCTGGGTTCAAGTGATTCTCATGCCTCAGCCAGGCGCCACCACACCTGACTAATTTTTGTATTTTTAGTAGAGATGGGGTTTCGCCATGTTGGCCAGGCTTGTCTTGAATTCCTGACCTCAGGTGATTCACCCACCTCGGCTTCCCAAAGTGCTGGGATTATAGGCATGAGCCACTGCGCCTGGCTTCATCTAACCAATTTGGATTCTGGTTGGAGTTCACGAAAAACATAACTTCCCATTACTTCCAGATTATTTTAAAACAAAAAATCATGATGACTTGTGAGGAAAAGGAAGAACATGTCAGATCCTGAGCTTCCTCTCAGGCTTGAGTGCCCTCAAGAGACTGTATTGCTGTGTTACGAGAGGTACAGTGCAATGGCTTCATCTGATATGCCAGTGTGGTAAGGCTTCCCCTGGAGGTAGGGACTCTTTTACCAGAAGGTTGGGGGCCTCCAGGAGGTTTTCCCCATCAGGAATTGGATTTGATGGCTGGGATTTAGAGCCTACACATTTGGGTCTCACAATCAGGGCAGAGCAGGTAAGGCTAATGGTGCAAACTGTGCCTCAGCACAGGCAGTCATCTAGGGGAAGGGGTGGTGCAGCCAGTAAAACCTGGAACCTGCAAGTGGTCCAGAACTTTGGTGGCCAGTGAGGGAAAAACTCCTCAAGTAAGCTACAATATTGAAAGGTTCAAAAGCACTGCCAAAGTGTTGTTTTGCCCCAGGTGCAGCACATGAGACTCTGTTCCAGTGAAATGCTACATTCAAAGAAGTGCTGTCCACCTCAGAAGATCCCAGAGGACGCAATTCTGGCTGTGCTGGGAAGTGCTAAAGTTCCCTCCATATGTCACTCTGGAGAAGGAAGCAGCAAAGCAGCCATGTTGAGTTCCTCTCTCAACCTTTGGCATCATGGACGATGGTAGCTAAAACAGATAAAAAAGAGACAAGTTACCACATGATGTCCATTGCTTTGCTATTAATGTATCAGTAGTAATGAAATTATATCCTAATTAATACTGCCTCTCCTCTGCTCTAATTCTACCTGACCTTTCTGTTGCATCTGATACTCCTCATCTGCTTCCTTCTTTCTTGAAACTCCTCTTGGCTTCTGTAACACTATCTTTTCCATAGTTTTCTCTCTTCTTCATTTGATCTTCCTCAGTATGCTGTCCTGGTTCATTTTCCTCTGTCCACCCTTTAAATAAAAAACAACTTCCTTGGCCGGGAACGGTGGCTCATGCCTGTAATCAATCCCAACACTTTGGGAGGCCAAGGTGAGAAGATCGTTTGAGCCCAGGAGTTTGAGAGCAGCCTGGGCAACATAGGGAGACCCTGTCTCTACAAAAGTTAGCCAGGTGTGGTGGCCTGTGCCTGTAGTCACAGCTACTGAGGAGGCTGAGGTGGGAGGATGGCTTGAACCTGAGAAGTTGAGGCTACAATGAGCCATGATCATGCCATTGCTCATGCCATTGCACTCCAGCCTGGGTGACAGAGTGAGACCTTGTCTCAATAAAAATAAAAATGAATAAATAAATAAATAAATACATTCCCCCCTAAAGGTCCACTATCTTCTTTCATTGGTTTTTTTTTTTTTTTTTTTTTGAAACGGAGTCTTGCTCTGCTGCCCAGGCTGGAGTGCAGTGGCGCGATCTCGGCTCACTGCAAGCTCTGCCTCCCGGGTTCCCACCATTCTCCTGCCTCAGCTTCCCGAGTAGCTGGGACTACAGGCGCCCGCCACCATGCCTGGCTAATTTTTTGTATTTTTAGTAGAGACGGGGTTTCACCGTGTTAGCCAGGATGGTCTCGATCTCCTGACCTCGTGATCCGCCTGCCTCGGCTTCCCAAAGTGCTAGGATTACAGGCGTGAGCCACTGCGCCCGGCCCTTTCATTTGTATCTTGAGACTTTGCTTTTTTTCTGGATTCTAGGCTGCCTATCTAACGGTCTTCTAGGTAACTCCATATGTCATAGGCTCATCAAACTCAACACATGCAATTTATTTTCTAGCTTGTTCATTGTCTGCCTTCTTCTTTTAGAATAAAAGCTTGGCCAGGCATAGTGGCTCACACTTGTAATCCCAACACTTTGGGAGGCCAAGATGGGAGGATCACTTGAGGCCAGGAATTCAAGACCAGCCTGGGAAACATAGCAAGACCCCATCTCTATTAAAAAAATAAAAAATAAAAAAAAAAAAGAATAAAGCCTCATTGAGGACAGAGATTTTATCTTATTTCCTGCTGTATCCCAAGGACCTAGCACTATACGTATCATGTGGTAGGTGCTCAGTATTTGTTGAATAAACTAAACTGTTCAGCTAAACTTCTTATCACCTTCACAGACCTCTCAAAAAATACAACTTAGAAATATCAGAGTCATTCTGACTACTCCTTTATTTCATCTCTGGAATACAACAGATTGCCACATCTTGTTGATTCTATGCTTGAAATGTCTTTCAAATCTATCACCTTTGCATTCTCACTGTCGCTGGTCTGAGCTACCACTATGCCCACTATGATTATTTCAGACACTTCCTGTTTTCCTTGCTGCTAGTCTCTTCATCCTTCCATATCATCTTCCTTGTTTGCATCAGAGCTTGTTCTGAAATACACAGAATTTCCTGCTTATAAACTGCCAATGGTTCCAACATCCTAGCATAACAGTGAAAGCATTGCGAGGGACTGCAACCCATTTTCTAGCTTATTTTCATCACACTGCCCCATACATCCTCTGTTGAAGCTACATTTTCTATTATTCAGAAACGCCATGTGTTTTCCTCTCTCCCATCATCTTGCTTAAGCCGGTCCTTCTTTTTCTTTTTTTTGTTCGAGACACAGTCTCGATCTCTTGCCCAGGTTGGAGTGCAGTTGCACAATCTTGGCTCACTGCAACCTCTGCTCCCAGGGTTCAAGTGATTCTCCTGCCTCAGCCTCCCAAGTAGCTGGGATTACAAGCATGCCACCATGCCCGACTAATTTTTGTATTTTTAGTAGAGACAGGGTTTCACCATGTTGGCCAGGCAGGTTTCCACCTGGCCTCAAGTGATCCACCCGCCTCAGCCTCCCAAAGTGCCGGGATTACAGGTGTGAGCCACCGCGCCCAGCCTATACTGGTCCTTCTGCTTACAAGGTTCTTTCCTTCCTTTTTTTTTTTTTTTTTTTTTTTTGAGACGGAGTCTCCAGTGGCCGGATCTCAGCTCACTGCAAGCTCCGCCCCGCCGGGTTCACGCCATTCTCCTGCCTCAGCCTCCCAAGTAGCTGGGATTACAAGCATGCCACCATGCCCGGCTAGTTTTTTGTATTTTTTAGTAGAGACAGGGTTTCACCGTGTTAGCCAGGATGGTCTCGATCTCCTGACCTTGTGATCCGCCCGTCTTGCCCTCCCAAAGTGCTGGGATTACAGGCTTGAGCCACTGCGCCCGGCCTTTCCTTCCTTTTTGTTCAGATTAATTTTTTTTATGTACCTTAAGATTTAGCATAAATGTCACATTCTATAACTCTTTCCTTTAGCAAAACTGTTCTTTTTAGCAGTGGAATCTTACTTTGTTGTCCAGGCTTCAGTGCAGTAGTGTGACCATGGCTCACTGCTGTCTCAATCTCCCAGGCTCAAGTGAATTTCCCACCTCAGCCTCCCAAGTAGCTGGACTACAGGAGTGAGCCACTGCACCCTTTGGCTATTTTTGTTGTTGTTGTTGAGATGGAGTGTCGCTCTGTCACCCAGGCTGGAGTGCAGTGGTGCAATCTCGGCTCACTGCAACCTCCGCCTCCCGGGTTCAAGCAATTCTTCTGCCCTCAGCCTCGCGTGGGTAGGCTGGAGACTATAGGCGTGTGAGCCACGACACCGGCTTTGAATTTTTGTGATTTTTAGTAGAAGAATGGGGTTGTCACCATATTGTTAGGGGCTTGGGTGCTCTGAACTGCCTGACCTTTGTGACCGCCGCACCTCGGGGGCGCTGCCGCAAAGTGCGTGGGAGATGTACAGGCATGAGCCGGCCATGCCCAGCGCTGGCTAGCCGGTAATTTTTTAGTTGTATGTTGTTTTGTAGAGATGGGCGCGGTCACTAGTGTTTCCCAGAGCTGGTCTCAAGAAGTGATCTTCCCTGTTGGGGCCTCGCCAAAGTGGCTAGGCAGGTGTTCGCCACGTTGCAACCAAGGGCCCGGGGCGTTGGCCTAATCGTCCAAAAAATAGATTTTTTTTTTTTTTTTGTAAGAGATGGGAGTCTTACTGTATGCTTGCTCGGCCTGGTCTCGGAAACTCCTGTGCTCAAAGTGATCCTCCCGCCTCCAGCCCGGGTCAAAATGTCGAGATTACAGGCATGAACCAACTGCACGTCAACCTCATTTGCCTCTTTTTATAAATGTTCTAAGAATCATGTAAAGATACTCTGACTGCTTCCATTTGTGGCTAGCTGATTCTTTGGATATGGGTGGCTCCTTAATCACAACCGTAATTCCAAATCAAAACACTTGATTTGTTGGCTTGTTGGCTTTGCTGGATTTCTTGGCTTGTTTCATGAGGACAGCTAATTAAAATGTTGTTTATACATTAAGTTTGGTAAGATCAACTGTGCTAGACAGAACTGAAACCAGAGAGGGCAAGATCTTGTCTAACTTAGCACCGTTTATAACCTGAGAGAGTAAGGTACAACGAAGAGAGCACCTCATTATCCTTGAAGTCATTGATTTCTTTCTCTGAATCCTGGTTCTGCAATTTATTAGCAAGTCAACCAAGTTACTTAACCATTGTGAGCCTCCATTTCCTCAGTGATAAAATGGGGATGTTAACACATTTTGCATGTTTATTGCAAGGATGAAATAATATACATAAAATGCCACAATCAGAATAGGCGTTTGCTTATTTTTTTTTTGAGATGGAGTTTTGCTCTTATCACCCAGGCTAGAGTGCAATGGTGCAATCTCGGCTCACTGCACCCTCTGCCTCCCGGGTTCAAGCGAGTCTCCTGCCTCAGCCTCCTGAGTAGTTGGGATTACAGGTGCCTGCTACCACGCCCAGCTAATTTTTGTATTTTTAGTAGAGACGGGGTTTTACCATGTTGGCCAGGCTGGTCTCAAACTCCTGACCTCGTGATCTTCCCGCCTTGGCCTCCCAAAGTGCTGAAATTACAAACGAGAGC